TGAAATTAGGACTGGAGTGACTGGAATTACTCCAGATTAGCAACGAGCCAATCAAAGTTTTCGAAGAAATCAGGGCCCCAATCACAATAAAATCACACCGAGGGGTAGTTTGATCACAAAAACAAATTTCCTCTGCTGGGTTGTAAGTACGGATCTCACATCACAGAAAATTGTGGGGGGCGAGTTCACTATTATTTTGTATACTCACGTAATAGTAATGAACTGTAAGTGGGCACGTTATGCAGTCAATCTAGGTAATTTTGGGGGTGCTTATTCACGATAGATGCTTATTCACGGTAGTATACGGTATATATATTTTCTGTAAAGAATAACACTTGAAATCTTGGAGCGAAAAGAAAAACAGCAGAACGGGAACGCGAAATTTGCCCTCAATTCTCACTGATTTTTGATTGGTTGATACAATTTTGCCGTCGAACGGCCTAATCTAATTACATTGCAAAATAATCTTGCAGACTATCTTGTCTTAGAGAATTGACTTGTTTTCTTCTTATCTGACGTTGTAAATCTTTCATTCCAGAACTGCGTTATTCGATTGCTGTAATAGTTCAGTGTTTGTGTTACCAATGTATTGGACAATTAATCATCGTACGGGGAGATTGAAGAAACTATATTACGTATAATAGATTGTCACGTGAAACCGACACATCCAAGATAGCTGGAGCCATTGGCCGACTTATACTGACTGGTATATAGAGTATGCGGCTTCGAATTAAGATACTTATTTGTTTGTTACATTTCTACGATAAGATAATATTCGCGTAATTAAATTGTAAGCGCGACATCAGCATATTCTTATCGAATGCCGTACATTCGTAAATAAAGGAGTTTTCGTGAAATACATTTGCGCGCGTGAATGGATAAGCATTCAACGGCGTACTGTTGTCACTTTATTTCAGTTTGTCGTCGTCACAAAAAATCAGAAAGGAAAGATTTGTCTTATTATGTAGCATATTATATATATTAAATATTCATTCTGTAACGTTATTTCCATAATTGTTCTATATTGATATATAGAATATTTGTTAGAAGTTGGAAAAAAAAAAGGATGGGTTTACTGTACAATTAGTAGTATTTTATCTTATATACGCAATATTCGTCTTCACATTCTGTAACGTTATTTCCAACTTTTGTGAGAAACCGGAAAAGAAATTTTATGTACTGTACCCTAAATGAGTGATCACCATGAAATTTAGCTATACGCAGATTGTATCTTTACCTGAACACTTATATACGCAATCTTTATCTTCATTCGGTAACGTTATTCCTATATTGCGATAGAATATTTGTTAGAATTGACAGTCTTCTCGTTAATGATAATGCAACGTTTTTGTTATGATCCAATACGATGACAAAACGAAAGTTAAAACACGATCCAGTAGTCGACTATTGAACTTTTAACCTTCCTCGTTATTATGATTCACAGAATGGGATATCTTGTGTCCCAAAACATCTCGCCTAATACATAGGGAAACTCAATAAGTCAGTCATGCACAGCGGACTGACTTATTGAGAGAACCGAGTTATTGAGAGATTTTAAATATTAAAATTGAGCTAAAAGGCTTGGGAAGTTTTGGCCTTCTTAGGCCAAATTGAATTATTGAGAGACCGACTTATCGAGTTTCCCTATGTAATAAAAGGTGACTTAACCCATAAACATATTGCTCATTAACTCTAAGCACTTACAATGTGAGCAAAAAAAGCAAAAGTTGCTTTGTAGAGAATGAGTATTTGTTGATTAACGTGTTATTATCGACCGTAAGCCAACGGCATACCCTGCTTATAGTTTGGCATTGTTTAGAGTTTGAGCTTCGAAGTTGCACAAAAATTTTCCAAGTGACGTCAAGTGTAATAGTAAGTCTGCTTTTAATGCTTCAATTCTGGTCATAAAATTAGAATTGGACTGGCGTTACTCCAGATTACATCGCAAAATTTCGAAGAAATTTGGGGGCCGCTGTGTGATAATCATCATAGTAAGTGACCCCGGATGTGTGACATATCGCCGGATTACTACGTTTTCGTTCAATTGAGGTTTTGCGTCGCGGTTGTAAACAAAAAAAGGCGTCGCGGTTGTAAACAAAAAAGGCGTGTAAACAAAAAAATGATGAACATGTGATGGTCATCTATTGGGTAAAATTTTCTTAGATATATATAGATATAGATTCGCGAGCATGAATAATAACTTATTATTGACCATGTCGAAAAAATACTTCGAACGTTCATGTTCCGAATGGAATATTGTGGGATTCTTGAGCGAATGTGAAGAGAGACAGTTCAATGAATTCGATGAGAATATATCATATTATATTGCAAGTCTTGAAACTATATCTAAAGAAGAAGGACTCAGAAGTGAAAAAGCCCAAGCTTTGCTCGATCGATATAAAAAGGCGAATACTGGGTTTTTTGGGGGGTGGGGTGGAAATTAAAATGGGTGACAAAGAATTTCCTGAGGTTTTTTGTCACCGGCAGTATTGAGGCACAGGCGGCTCCCTGAGGTCTACTGTGTTCAAGGTTCCTAAGCTGACTCGGTACCGGCCCTGTTGGAGCACAAACAATTTCCTGAGGTTGTTTGATGTTCAAGGTTCCTAAGCTGATCCAACAGTATGGGGTTAAGAAAATCATGGAGTTATAGATAATTGGGTTGGTGTGTCAAAATATTCAAACAACATCTTTTATATTAATATGTTAGGATCCTAAACCCGACTACAAAATTGCACGAAACTGGGAGTCAGGACATACTAGGAAGCAAGTTTATCTCTACAATCCGACATTCATTGGCCAAGGTATTGGAAGTATAAGTGGCGGAACATCTGGAACTATAAATGGGCTCATTGTTGAATCTTCAAAGAGAGAGGCTCCGGTTCCTGAAAATCAGGTATGCATTATTTGGCTATAACTATTGCTTATTATTTGTATTGGTTTCTAATCCATCTACAATTTTAATTTTTAGGACTATAATAATAATAAAGTTCCCAAATACAAAAAAGCAAAAATTGAAGATTGGTTTCGGCCCTGTACTCCGCCACATCAAACCTATTCGCGAAATGCTTACCCTCATTGGGTCCAGGAAGTAATGTCTTATTACTTTTGATATTTCTTAATGTGAAAATAAAAATCACGGGAGGTCAATAATGAAATTGACAATATTGATAATGAAGATATATATCATACTAATACCCATCTGATTTATGTTCTATTTTCAGACTCCACAGAATGTGACGGAAGCTGTCTACAAAATAATCGAAAAAATAAAATCCATTAACTACCAATTATTTGATTACAAAATCATCAACCTTTCAGAGCGAAATATCACAAATCCCGTTAATAAATTATCAAGTTCTGAAAAACATACCCTAAAGGATATTTGGAACTCGGTATTACATTGTCTGTTTGTAAGCTTAATATTTTAGTAAAATTTAATACTTTTGCTTATCTTTTATAGTTAGAGCCATCTGATCAATCAAAAACAATCCGTCTTGAAAAATGGAAAAAGATTATAAATCCCCTTGTACAAAAGTACCAATCTTATTTAGAAAGTAAATCCGTATTCGACGTAATTTCCTTGAGTGATACTATTGAAGTCGTTCTTGAAAAACCATATACCGGAGAATTTATTCATAAAGAACATTATGATCTCATATGGGTACAGGATATTTATAAACGATTGTGAGTATAAATATTTGTGATTATTGTCATTTCCATTTGTGACATTTAAGTTTATGCCATCTATTTATATTTAGTCTATTTCTTTTCGATGCACCCACCAACTTACTATTGGATCCGGATCAATGTGAACTTTCTTATCGAGAAAATTTTGTAAATCCCATTATTGTTAAAGTTTTTGACGACATCATGGATTTAATCAAGGTAAAAACGTAAGTATCTGATCTGCCGTTATTATTATTATTATTAGTTATCTATTTCTTAATCGCTAACTGGTTGTCTTTACACAGAGGGGAAGTAGAAAATTTGTCAAACAAAATGCAGAGAAATGAAACCATGCAATATAAGCAACGGGTTAGCATTGGATGTTCCCAAGATGGGATATATTCAATTAACGTAAATGCTGTTGTTTTGGAAGTAGGATTCTTAGAGGTTATCGGCAATGCCCTCTACACTGATATCAAAAAATTAAACAATGACACCGAAAAAGTGTTGAAGTGTATGCAAATTTCTATTCATTATCAACGTCAACACTATTTATCACGTGGGGTTACTGAACAACAAGTATCCTTTGTTGAATCATATGGAATTGTCGTCTACCGTAAGTAACACATATTAATATTTAGGGCTAAGACTAAGTATTTTATTAATCTATTGCAAACCTTACGATCTTTTTATCAAACTTAGAGCGAACGTTTACAATTTATGTAATGCATCGAACAAGTGAAGGTCTATATGTTGTTGATACTTTAACTGAATTTAATATACCAAATACCAAGGATCAATTGTACATTTTGAAGGAAGTAATCGAAAATGTTTATTTATTTAAGGTATACACGTATATTTTGATAGCTTTCACCCTTGACGCATTTTGTTTTTTACATATTCACGCATCTACTTTATTTTTGGTATAACAGAGTCGAATAATGGACTACTATCTAATGGTTCAGAAGATCGTTCCTTATACTAAAGTTCGTATTGGCATAAATGAATCACCTGTTGAAGTATCACCCTCCAAAGCTTCGACTACTTCCGATGCTTCAAAAACTTCTGATTAGCAGATTAATATTAATATTAATATGTATTATGTAATAGATCCAAAATAAAAACCATGTGTGTGTTACAAATTTAAATATAACCTTGCTGCGTGATGGAAAGAGATGAACAAAAAGCAAGCCAAGAATGAATGCGTCTAATAGTAAGGCATCATCATTCGCAGTAAAAAATAAGTTGCCTATCTCTTCTCATTTGTAAAACGTTTTAAACAGCCACCACGAAAGCCTCTAAGCGGAATATGCCTAGGAAGTTATTGGTCCCAATGTCCCGAAATTCTTTGAAGCTTTCCTACAGTTGCTGTTAACTTTAATGTGATTTTTCAATTCCATCGGGATATAAAGGGCCAACCAAATACCCTCTGTGTTGTATGTCCGCTTGGTAATTTCGAAGGTGGGGAGCTGACATTTCCGGAATTAAAATTAATCGTCCATGTTAAACAAGGTCAAGCGGTGGCTTTTCGATCAAACACCTCCTGGTTCATGGAAATCTACTGGAGTTCGACATAGTGTCGTTTTTTACGTTAATTAAACAAAAACGAAAGTTTGGCACTCTTTTCGCTGATTACGACTTGGATTGGAGTGGTAAAAGCAATAAGGACGATTCGTCACCAAAATATCTTCCTCCGACGCTAGGTTCTGGAGATAATGAGGCGAAACTAAAAAATCATAGAAGAATTAATATAGGTATATACATTTAACCATTCTCTGACAATTTAATGTATTCAATGATAAGGGACTAATATTTATCGCTTTTTTTTATTATACTATGTCCACTTATTCGTGTATTAGATAAATGTTGAGAACGCAAAGAGAGGATTTCCCGCAGGGTATAAGAAATAACGCATCTAATGGGTTTTATTACGATTCATTTTCCGTATCACTAAATTAATAATGTGTAAGTACTAAGTACATCAATAATAATAATCATTATTGGTTAAATAAAGGGATTTTCATGTGTAAATATATCAGTGAGGCTTGATTGCTTATTGTGGGTATCAATCGTGGCTGGTTATATTTTTCTTGGTATTTTGCCGGTCTCGCAAAATTTTTTTTATTCGTATCTTATACAAAACAATGGGAAATACCAAATCTGAATTAGATCTATTGAAACAAGAGAACACTAGGCTTTTTATTTTGGCTGAAAATACTGAACTTAGAAACGAGAAGGCTAATTAAGACAAGATATAGAAGGACATGAAATGATGCTCCTGCATCCAATATAACAGCTAACACTTCTGATATATTAATATACCAACCTATCTGTACAGAGCCTAAATCATCAGAAGATAAGGAAATTAAAATAGACAATTTCCTAAATTTAACATATATATATATTAAGATATAAAGAAAAGGTTAGTAAAGAGATAAATTGTAACCTCCAGAATACTAAATCTTCGTTGAGTGTAAAAGATGGGCAGGGGTTAATCCAAGAATTATTTACTATTACTCCAGAGCTGTCTCTACAAGAATCAAATATAATTCAAAACCATGTGACTGAAATTTCTGAGATTGGCAGTCCCAGAAAATCTAACATTGACAAAGCACTGCAACACCTAGCTATTAATAATAATCGCAATAATTCGAGATGATGAAGATTGTCACTATATATTAATATGAGGCATTTATTTAACCTAACCAAACCGTCCACACATGGCTCAACGAATTAGCCGTCCAGTTTGGTTGATATTAGAAAATATTCACTATAATTTAAATTTGTTGATTTGCGAAAAATTCTTTCGATCGTCGGCAAACTTCATTTTTACATTGTGGACATCGTAAAGGTAACTGAACAGAGACAGGTTGGCGTGACCGTAAGTGATCGGCTACGAGATTTGCCATTGCTTCGATAAATATTGGGTCATCATTCAATGATTCTGCGCGTTTCAGTCCCGTAATCCCAGCCTATCATGGAAAACGTGCGCATTAAAAACAATTAGAGATATTGATAATCAAACCAAGTAAGTGCTCTCCGGTGTGAATCTCCATTTTACAAACGTAAATTTTGAAAATGAGAGTAAATTCGCTATAGAAGATACTTTAAATATATAGGCACAAATAACCAACACACCACCCTATTCCCTATCACAGTCCCTTGCTCATTCAATTACCTCCTTTGCCATATGCCCATACTCCAAATCCAATTCAAACAAGGTCTCGATATGATCACTTGTAAACGCAATTGGCACTAGTAATACGTCTTTATATCCCTTCTTTCCTAGCCCCGTTAATGCTTCGTCTGTCTTTGGCCCCATCCACGGCTGTGGGCCTACTTGCGATTGCCAGACTAGTCGATACGGATTTGAGAATTTCAAACGCTCCATCACGCGATAAACTGTAGCCGCTACTTCGGCAGTGTACGGATCTCCTCGGTTTACCACGACCATTGGGAGAGAATGAGCCGAGAACAACAAAATTACATTTGAGCGAGATTCCGCAGGATAGGTGGATAGAGCAGATTCAATGTGTCTAGCAAACGCCTAAGTAAATTCACGAATTTTATGGTTAAAAAAAAAACACGCGCGCGCCTGAACACAACTTATGAAAAATCTACACATTTCAAAGGGACCTCAATTAAACCCGTGTGTGTTGGCCATCGATCGATAACACTCCATTTGACGGAACCGTGAGGGTCCAAATCTTGCAGTCGTCGCCATAATTCGTTAAGACTACTGCCTGTCGTAGAGCAAGAATACTGTGGATATTGGGTAAAGGCTACCGCGCGCGTGACACCGTCTTCTTTCATTTGGTTTATTGCATCTTCTGTCAACGGCGGTGCGTATCGAAAGGCTATATAAGCCTTGTGTGGAGCTTCAACATGCAACAATACAGCCAAAAAATTAAATTAGCGCAAACAGATTATCATTTAGTGCTAGCATTGTCTTATTTTTACTAATCTTATTTACCAGTCTCAGGGCTAAGCTTGTCAAGCAATCGAACCATTCCTTTTCCTTGTAATTCAGTCCAAGTCTTGATTGGTGATCCTCCCCCTATTTTGGCGTATTGATCCTGAATACGAGGTGTACGTCTCTTGGCTATTATCGGAGCAACGCTTTTCTGGAAAGGAAGCGGAATAAGATCCGGATCCGAGAACAGCCTTGTTAAAAAGTCTTGGACACCGTCGAGTGTCTCTGGACCACCCAAGTTCATCAGCAATACTGCAGTCGGCCTGGTGAGTGTATCAGAAAAAAACTGTCGTGTAAATTGTGGTTTCCCGTCAATCAGACAAAACTAGAATATGCATTATAGTGTTCCTAAACTAAGAAATCCAAACAATGCTGTGGGAGAAGAACATCAGAGGTTGGATCATACTGTAATAGTTCTTGAATTCAACACTTGTCAGTTGGAATACCATACCCTTTTTTGTTGGTGGCTTCATTCGAAGATACGCTGACATAACTTCTTGTCAACAAAGATGAAAGTGCTTTTTGCCGTGAATTGACTACCAGATGTAATGAGACATTAGCTCGAATGATTGACATGCACAAATGGTTATATATCTTTGATTTAATTTACTTGCGAGATTTTACCAAGAATGTTATTAATATTACTTCTTGTCTTCACTTGACGTAGAAATGATATTCTTTTCATAATAAAATTTGTCAAACCAAATTTTTTGATCGGCCAAACCCTCGAGTTTTGTTAGTTTTGTTGCAGGAGCATGACTTTTGTATTACCTCTGTCGCCAGTTAAAATCAATAATCGTGCGAAATTTCGGAATTGAGCGATTTTTTATGTTTCACACACTTTGTATTTATATGTTTATAGCGAACAATCACACGATTAAATACTTGGTATAAACTTGTTCTATGTTTAGACTATAATGATACTCTTTGACACTCACGCGATATGATACTTCGTCGTCTTATACAGTATATCGAAATTGTTATCGATATTAATGCATTTCACGCTTTTACACAAAAGTCACGTCCCTGCACAAAACCTGGGGGTTACAGGTAGGACCGGTTGATCGTTCCTTGTATGTCTGAATATTGTACACGAAAAATATTCGAAATTTACAGAATTACATGTGTCTTAATAATAATTGATATAATAAAAGGTCTTTTTATCGCTTTTTTTATTGTAGGTTGTCACGTAAAAATTTCACCTCTTAATATTTCGACTTTATTTCACCTATCTCTTCCGAATAATTCCCGAATCTTTGACACTGTCCCGATGTTTAATTACGGTTTTCGATCGTGCAATAAGTTGTTTTAATAAACTTGATTACGTTTACTTGCGGAGTGTAATTCAACAATCATTATTTCGCATTAGAGTCTCGATTTTTTTATACACAGTCTTCGTTCAAGTGACGCGGTGTCAATAACTGGTTGAATACGCTTATGCTGATTACAATATTGACAATTAATGCAAGATCTCATCAACCAATTGTCACTAATACAACAGCAAGTAGAAAAGAAATAAAATAAGAGGTCAAAGACACGGTGTACGATGATACCGATGAGATTCGCAATCTGAATGAAGACAGCGTAGAAATAAGGGAATTGTTAAAAACAATGGGGTTCTCGTACTTTCTGTTAATTTTCCAGTTGAATAAGCTTCAAAGCGTCGTTTTCCTGTCAAGTTTATTAACTGGGAAAAGGTGATTAACGTAATAGTTTACATCATCTTCGTCAGTATCGAGTCGCAAATTTTTATTCGACCTGCAAGATATCGATAAAATTGTTTAGTAGCAATAATCTAAACTATAATGTTTCTCGCGAATTAAATAAGATTCTAAAAACAATAAGAGTTAGAAAGTATAGGGAGATAGTTGTAGTAAGGGTAGGGTACTTAGCGTTTTCCTAATTACTAGCATGCGCGCAAAAATACAAAAAGTTGTACACGAAAATTATCGAAATTAGATGCTTTTTACTTTGTGCTTTTAATGATTTTTATCGACTCGCACTAAAGAGTTGTAAATTGAGGTTTTTACCACATATTTCCAGAATCGATCTATCCTTGGTAAACTCCTGGTTCGTGATTGACGCAGCAAAATGGGGTTATCCAAGTCGATGATGAGTTGTGTTGCGCAGAGCCACATAAATATCAGTAAGCTATTGACATGTAATTCGTCGTCGTATAATTATGATAACACTGTAACGCCATTTTTTGTATAACATATTTAAAAGTAACAATTATAAAAAAGTGTATCGTCAATGTTACCTCCTTTACAGCAAATAGTCTAATTAAACTTTATTTTAGACTTATTGAATAACCCGCACAAACTACTGTGATTATGGCAAGTCACCACAGTTAAATTTATCGACGGCTGGTTGATGGGGAAACATTGATTTATGTCAAATGGTTGAACAACGTTCTATACTAAATTTAACTAAACTTTCAAGGTTGGCTTATATTTTTCTGCTGTAACCTACTTTGTAGATAACTGGTTCGAACATATTTATACGTTTTTGCGTTATTTGTAAATAGAATTAACACAAAGGATGGAATACAAAGTTAATTAAATCGCTCGGACTGTTAATTTCTGGCTACCGAGTAAATTTACATCCTATTAAACTAAAAAGGCGCGTACACAAGGAGTAGTTTTTGACAATTATTTATGTACGTTTTCAATAAAAATGAAACAAGTCAACCGCGTAAAACTTATTTCTAGCGATTATTGTTGCTCGATGTTTTATGTTACGCAAACTTTGCTTTAGAAACGTAATGTCTTGTACAATTGGTAATTGATATTGAATTGCTCTAATTTTACACTCGTAAATTTTCTTGCGGCTGGACTTTCCTACTATTGAAATATTTGTTACAATTTTGCGAATTCTCTACGGCAGACTTCTTCTAACGTTGAATGCAAACTCTTCAACGACAAACAACAAGGGGTTGCAGAGTTGAGTGTTGGTAGCGGTTTACCAAGGAGATGCGGTAATCGTCTTAGTGATTGGCGCTTGGCAAAAGAATGATCGTCCAGTCGATGACAACATCTGTTATTGCACCACCCGTCGCGCAAATTCAAGAACACCATTAAAAGTGTTGCCATCGTAACCGGCTTTCAGATTGGTCGGAATCTTGGTTTGACTAATATGTAAATTAAGAGAATTTCTTCTTTTTAAACACATATCTATGAAGAGACGGTGGCTGGTGTCAAGATTACGGCGAGGCTAGAACTCCAGTCACGTGATACAATATATTTACTTCAACCAAAATTTTTGTGTGTGCAACCAGAATGAAGTTTTATAGAACTAGTACGTATGCCCGCAGAATTTTCAACACAACACTGAACAGATATACAACAATGTCTCGCGCCGCAAAGTATGATTTATGGAGCAGGGAAGAATTGATACTAAAGTTACTCGAGTATGAAGACAGTCAATTACCAAATGCGACAAAAAAACACGAGTCGAATGATAGTGCAAGTGTTTGCTCTTCCATATCAACAACCGATTCCAAAAAGACAAAACGTAACAGACAATTCGACATGTCTAAATATTCACAGAAATATATTGCACTCAAGGTAGCTTATCTCGGATGGAATTATCACGGTTTCGCAGTTCAGGCAGACGAGGAAACATGTCCGACGGTAGAAGGACAGATATTCAAAGCGCTCCTGACAGCCAAACTCATTACTGATCCGTCGTCCTGCAAATTCTCTCGTTGTGGCAGGACGGATAAAGGAGTGAGCGGGTTGGGACAGGTTATCGCATTGAAAGTACGATCTAATATGCCTGCTGATAAAATCGAGGATAAAGACATTGTAGAAGAGAACGTTGAAAGTGATGGAAATGATTATAAAAACGAGTATGTCAAGATTAAAGATAAAAATCAGCCCAAAGAAGAAATACCGTACGTCGATATTCTAAACAGATTGCTACCAGCGGATATCAGAATACTCGCATGGACATCCGTCCCCGAATCGTTTTCGGCGAGATTCTCTTGTCGCGGACGACGGTACAGATACTTTTTTCTGAAATCGGCCTTGAACATTGAACTGATGCAGTCGGCCTGCAAACAGTTCATAGGCACGCATGATTTCAGAAATTTTTGCAAGATAAACTCTAGCCAGGATGTCACCAATTATGAACGGACAATTCTCGATGCAAAGATATCAAAGGCTAGCGAGTGTGATTCGGATGCCGGTTGTGGTGGTGACCGTGTGTCGCCGCCGTATAGTGACGTCGACGAGTTTTACGTCTTTGAAGTCAGAGGTACTGCCTTTTTGTGGCATCAAGTGAGGTGCATGATGGGCATTCTGTTTCTCATAGGGCAGGAATTGGAGTCGCCCTCGATTATACAATCTCTTTTCGATATTTCCACTATTCCTTCACGTCCTGCATACGAGATGGCAAGCGAGCTTCCTCTTATTCTTTACGGTTGCGAATTCAATGGACTTGATTGGAAATATTCTCCAAATACAATAGACAGACTTTATCATCACATGTATCAACAATTTTATGGATATTTTACCAAGTCAATGATTGCTTCCACGATCTTGAAATCACTTGGTGTTGGTACAATACAGCATGGCATAATAAATGGAGGAGGACAAGAATTGAGAAAGAGAAAATATGTGACTCTTTTAAATAAGGACAGGTGCAGCAGTGTTGATGAAAAGAGAAAGAAACGCAAGGAAAGGAAAGAGTAAAAGGGCAATACTAGATAAAGCTAGGGATCGCTAAAACCCACACGTTAATACGCGCACACGAACAAAACACTTGTTGCATACCAGTCGAATGAACGACACGCGCAATCATGTACGTTTAAAATTCGAATGGTCTTGTATTTTTGTTCTTTTACAATGTATAATATATAATACAGGAGAATAAATAACTTTCATTCTCAATCAACAGCGAGAGATAATCTCAAACTGTAAGCATTTCTGTACAAAAGCCACGACAAACGCGGCAGAATCAACAAACAGTAATTGAAGAAATACTAATCAATTGCCAAGAAGCACAAGATAATCTCACCAAGAATCTTACCGACTATTCGAACAATCAATCAAATAAACATTCATCTCTACTCAAAAAAGGTGGAAAGAAAAAAAGGAAGAAAACAAGACTAGCGTAAATGGTTTGAACACCGTTAATCGTTTTGGTAAATACAAATAATCATCTGACCTAAAAATTACTTTCCATCGACATGACGAATCCACTCAGACAAAAATTTTCTTTCTTTTTTCAGCAAAAATGTAAAAAAACTCGCTCAAAACCCATTCTATAATTTCAAACTACCAACCCTACAAGTTCTACATACATTAATAGCCATGTCTCTCATAATCCATATTAATTATTATGCCAACAATCGCTTATTAATCCGAACACCTTCTCCGAAGGTATTCATCCATGGTAAACGATCTCGGACAATGGTTGACTACCGGACGCTCAACGGGCATTCTACCAGACATTATAGGACCTCTTGCATTATTCTCTCCATCCATTGCTTCTCCCGAGTCCGAATCTGATCCAAGCCAGGCATTTATTATCCAGCTCTTGTTAACCGGTCTCCTAACATGCGCGGCCAGGCGATTAGTCTTTGAGCGTGATTCTATTACTCGTGAATTATCATTAAATACGCCCATTCGCGGGAACGTTCCCATCTTGGGATATTTGAGGTTTTTCGGTGCGTATTTCGTAGGATTTTTCAACACTAAATGGTGAAAGAACATGGAATGGGTTCCCAAGTTAGTCACTGTAAGTAGATGCAAATGTGCAATGCTTGATCAAACGATAGCGATATAGAACGTATACTAAGCAACATGGATTCAAATCCAACAATAAAACATATCGTTTGTTTCTACTCTCGATCCATATTGTACAACCAACGAATTGAGAGACTTACAAGCACTGTACTCTGCTTTGAGCTTCTGTATCTTGTCTTTCCTATCTTGAATCATACTCAGTTTCAAATGTTTCAGTTGCCACTAAGTGAAAAACGGGTTATGATATTCGTTAGCTAAACGTAAATTTTCATTCGCGTGTAAAATATGCCAACTTTTTAGCCCCAAGACCCAAAGATACACCATTCAATCGCAAATCGCGCAAAATTCCATGATCGTGTTTTAATTTTTTCGGTTTTCCCTTCAATGGTTTTCTTCTCCCCTCACCTTGAAGTCATCAGACGCTTGCTTAACCATCCCCTCCTGTACATTCTTTGCTCGCTCCTTGCCATACCTGAGCCAGGCGTTGGCCAAATGTAATCGCTTGTCTCTTTGAGCAAGCAGAGCCGTATGAATAGCTTCAAATTTAGGATGATGGCCTGCTTCTATGGCTTCATATTCTTTATTTATCTCTCTCTCTCGTACCGCAAACATACTATATCACAGATCGAATAGGTGGAGGGAGGTACCAAAACCGTGGAAAACAAGAGCACAAAAATGGGTTAAAATTACGAGATACACTTTCAAGAGTTTCTACTGCTCGTCATAATTGACATAGTTTGACGGCAATTACGAATTTCATCACAACGTATTTCTCTCATGCGTTATTGCCCGACTCACTCACCAGTGTTCTAACGTAGCAATTCTTGTCTCAATTTGGGTTATTTTGCTTCTGACACCATTTAATTCGTTCTTTAATGCTTTTGTCGTAGGATCTGTCTCGGCAAGGCTCGAATCTATCATATCAACGTCCTCGTCATCGTCTGATTGACTGGTTTCGGTTTGAGTTGCGTTGTAATAACCTTCGTCTGATTCGTAAGAGCTGGCATCGTAAGTTTCAGTCGTCTCTACGACGGTGTCTGGGGAAGTCGAATGTGTTAGATGTAAGAGGAGATCTTCGGGAGAGTATGGGTGAGGCGAGGGTTCGGTCGGAGAGAGATAAGGTGCATGGTTACTGCGGTTGCGCTTTTGGTTTTGGGACGGAGACATTATAGGGCGTAATATACAAGGAAAGGGAGTGGAGGGAGAAGATAGAGGAGGAGAGAAAGTGAAGGAGCGGATATCAAATGGCTAATGTGCAGTGTTCGGTATACTTAGAAATGGCGGCAACCTAGTGCTCGTAATTATTCTATAGATGTTAATATCCTTAATATTACTCGAAGTGTGTGTGTGTGAGGGATACGAAATGGGGCGGGGTTGATGGATAAATCGATAAACAGATTGGATATATTAATATTATTCCTTATTGTTGATGTCGCGTTACACAAACGCGCAGTTTACGCCAAATGTAATACACACATCGGAGTTTGCGAGCATAAACGTATCAAACAATGGGACGTGTCTTTTCAACAGTGGAAACAGACAATCGAGTTGTATGGATCCAGATGACGACAATCGAATACGTATATCGGTTAATACGAGAGTGAATTGTATTTCTGATGATTTTATTGGATTAGTCAACAAGTAAACGGTAGCGGTAAACAAACAATTGCAAGTCCGCTGCTTTTATGACGTTTATACTATTAATTACGCGCAGCATGTTATTACAATAACCATCCACGTATTCATCAATAGCAGATAGTGCTGGTTTGTGACTGGTTATAAGAATAGCGTATATTTATTTCTACAGGTTTTAAAGCGTGATTAATAAACATTGATTGGTCTGTTTTTGTTTCAGAAAAAGTTTCACGTTGTCATACACGCACAGAATCGATAATCCTATCAGCGTATAGAACCTTGTGAATAATGAAGGCAATTTGCATACACTTTTTTGAGAACATAAGCAAAAGCAAACAAACGCCAAAATTTACACTAACCATTTTTGCTATAATCCATTAAATTTTGATAATTCCGCAACAAGTGTTCGTATTATAATGCCAGTAATATTATAATGCCCAGATGCGTCATTCGCCTGAGACTAAAAAGCCAATTGACCAACACGCGCACGCACACATTTATTTATTTATTTATTTATTTATTTATTTACGCAAGAGTAGTCCGCTCTTTCTCAAAAAGCTTTTCTTTTGGTAATTGGAGTAACGATGAAAAGTAAACACACGTGACACTAGATGCAAATCTTAAACCATATTGTTGTTATGTCGCATAATACGTTTATCCATTGAAACAATCGAATGCCAGTGATTTTGAATCTTTTCTCCCCCTCAAAATTACAATTACGCTAGAGATCAGCAGATCCCTTGCATACAGCCTTGACGATCACACCTTAATTATTACGCCGATATTAATACTAATATTAATGTGTTTTAATACGAGACTTGAGCCGCTCTAAATATAACAATAATACCGATTGACGAAATCTGACTTGTGATAAGTCTAATGACATACATTTATTGACAGTATTAAGTGTTATGCATGCTGACAAGTCAAATTCTACGTCTAGAGTCAATATCGATTACCAGTTTAGAACTTGGTATTGTAAATCAGACAGAGCCTTTCCGATTTTGTTTCGGCTGCGGCATAATCTCTAAACGTTAGAAAAGCCTTTTGTTCTACAAAGAGACACATGTCTTTGAAATGTATGGTATCATTAGTTCTTACGATCATGAAATGTGGAACAACATAATTTGTCATCGTTCCGATGTGCCAGTAAAGTTTATCCGAAAAAATTGTTGCAAGATGAGTTGATGCCAAGAGGAAATCGTAGATTCTCATACCAACTAATTGCCAAGTCTAGTGAGGCATACATCAATTACTTTTGTTCACCATTTCCAGTTTCCATATATCAATGGAAATTCTTTGCGTGAATGTATTAGTGACATTGTAGTACGAATACAGTAGTGTACTGGGAAAGTCAATGGGATAAATGTATTTCAGGAGACAATTGTATTCACAGACTTTAGGCCTAGAAACTGACATAGTTTCTCGACCAAGAAGATTAGAAAAAACGCGATTGTTTTGACAACCATGATGGCCTACTCTTAATAATACCTGTTGGTCGCTTGTCTTGCAAGGCTGTCACGCGCGCAAACAGTCAGTAAGACGACTACTCTCATACATGCAATTGCATTATGTTCGAATAATAAATTACTAGTATCGTGTAAGAGTTAATAAACGAAGCACGCGGTACTATCAAGTCTATTGCGTAGAGGGAGAAGGGCACAAATATAAACTCCATTTGATTTATTAGTCGTTTAGCATTAGAATACTTGAATACGGGGCAAGGCTGACCATGTCTTTACTTTATATTTTACTCATTTAACGTCAGTAATATTTCCTACCAACGCTGATATCGTATTGCAGAGCGGGGTGCTCTAATAGTCTCATGTCCCGTGAATTTTCTTAAAATAGCACACATTAACACCGCTCGAACGTAATTAATTTGTAGGAACTATTCCAAAACTTTTAATCCAATACTGATACAATTTAATTTATGAACGCCAAAACTGTATATGTTAATGTAGTACTTGTTCCCAACTATAAATAAGTATATAATCAGCTTACATTCAACAGTTTGGATAGTATTTACAGATTGACTTAATATCGTCGTCGCGGTTCAGGCAAATTTTCTGTTGGCAGAATTTTGCTAGAATATTTGTTTTCCTTCTCGAGACGTGACAAGGGCTTTACATCTTTATGGTAAATTGCCTTCCATACGTCAGACTTGTCATCTAATGCTTCGACCGCGAGCTCGTTTATCATCCATAAATGTGGACGCTTGTCAGGATCAGCATCACAGTACATCTCGGCAAGCTTCTTGTATTTCTCTGGTGCTGAATCAGGCATTGTCGGCCGCAGTCCATTCATAATGTCGCGTACTAAATCTTCGTCAAACTCTCTGTCTCGGAAAGGTGGTTCACCATTGGCCATCAAATACATAATCATACCAAAAGAATATATATCCGATTTCTTTGTAAACTTGCGGGTATGAAAGACTTCCGGCGCGATAAAGGGTAAAACGCCTTGAATGGCTGAACTAGACCTACAGGACTTTACCGATCGCGAAAGGCCAAGATCGCATATAAGTGGATGGCTCGTATGAGAATTTCCTTCTATATCCTGCAAGACTATATTCCCCCCATGAAGATCGCAGTGCACCAATTCTGTGAGATGAATTTTACTCAGATGAAATGCTATATCAAGCAAACACTCATACTTCATCCTCCACGTCATGTTGTTAATATTTCGATCCAAAAAAGACAAAAGACTACCATCATTAGCATACTGCATAACAACAATATATTCTTCCGTTGCTGGGTTTTGTGTGAATCCATAAATTTCAAGGAATCCTTGATCTGAGCATTTCGCATGATTTCTAAACTGTTAAATAAAAAGTAGATAGAATTCATATTAAACGTCACTTTGATTAATAATATCCAAGATGTCTTACCTCGGAAATAAATAATTCCGATGCCTCATCAAAGTTCTTAAAGCATTTAAGAACGACAAGTTCCGGGATATCTCTTACTGGATTGTTTCTATACTTGGCAGTATAGACTGTTCCATAACCGCCAGATCCAATTTCCTTAATTTCATCAAAGTCAGTATACGGCATACACACAACAGCGCCTCCAATATGTATAAGCCTGTTCAATATTGCACGCATTTCGTAATAAAACACTAAATAATACTCATTAGTGGATGGCTTTTGGGTAATGCCAGTAACCCAAATATTATCTGGAATCAATATTTGGGGATAACCTGTAATTAACTATTTGCGAACAAAACAATATAATCGTTACAACAATCATCGATTTTTTAGATGCATGAAAACGCAATTTGGACGCGAAATTACCTGGTAAAAGTCAAATGACTGCGCATCTTGTCCATCAACGATCTTTTTAAGTGTCACTCGCACCGGTTGATTTGTCACCGGTTCTAACCAATCTGCGATATGTGTGCATCTATGGCGTAATGATGTCATCTCTTGTACATTTTTCAATAGAGAGTATTCAATCCATCGTAGATAGGCGTCGTATTTTGCCGTTGTATTCCGCCACGATTCCATAATGAACGAATCCAAAGACTTGTTGCCAGTCGTCCAATCAGGCGGTGATGGTGCTTTACAACGATAACAGAATGCCGTTATCTTAGGCTCTAGTCGATACGTACACGCCATACAAATTCCAATATCGCCTCGGTCTTTTATTAGGTAATATTTTTGCTGGCTTGCATCGCATGTAAATCCGATAGTAATCCAAACATCTTTGTCGAGAATATCTGGATGCTCATCACATAGCTAGCGGGAAATAAAATGTCATGTCAAATGTTGTAAGTCCAAAACACGATGCGTGATTGAATAGTTCACCTTGTCATAGTATGAATCGTCCGTCTTGTCGTTTATCTCAAGCGGAATCAATTGGATTCTACGATAAGCAGTAACGGGTATACTAGTCAAGTATACAGAAAATCCTCTATCGGCAATGCTATCAAACGGAATCCATTCCAGGTAAGCTTCATTTGCTGAGTTTGTCTGTAGTTGAGATTTCTTAATAAAGTCGTCGAGTTGGTGGTTGTTGCTAGTCCAACCATCGGATAATTGTTTATAACCACAAATGCACCACACAGGGCTACATCGGAGCAATCCGCATTCAGAACAGAACCCGTAGCAAGAATAATAATGATAAAAGCTTCTTTTAGCAATCATGTAATAATGATTTTTTTCATCTTTGGTAAACCCAAGTATGAGTTTATTGCGGTAACTAAGCCATGCGGAATAGCGTCTAAATTGACTGGCATCATTATTATCGCTGCTTGTTCCGAGTGAGTATGTTCTGGCAAAATCGCTCACAGATGTTGGTGCATAAGGTCCACCGCTTCCAAGGGATAGCAACATTATCATCTTTTCATCAACGTTACCATCACTATGGGCCTGTCTGTAAATAGCAAAATGGATAGTGTCAACTTCACTTGACTCGACGTTGATTATATTTGAATAAGAAACCCATTTAATGTAATCCGTATTGTTTGTTATCAAGCCGTCGATTGCTATATGAGCCTCTAAAACTGACGACATCGTTCAGAAGTAAAAAAAAAAGACGGTATGTTCCGGAGAACCATTCCGATGGTTTTGTATTACATATTGGGTGTTCATGTGACTATTTACTACCCAGCCCATCAAAAATTTACGGACACGTGATTATTTCTATATGTGTAAAATTAAAAAAGTTGAAAAAGTTACAAATCAATATATCGCAGGGTCAAAAAATTAGCATATTGAAATTGTTAAAATATAATGTATTATGCAATTTATGGCACCCGACTAAGGTTTATATTATGAGCCTCTTTCACATACATACCCCACCCAAACCATCATTAAGTGCGTCTCGCGGGTGCTGGGTGCGTCCCGCATTTAGGTAGCATGGGTGAACGTTAATGCTGAATTCCAGCATTACCAAATTCCAAGTTATTGGCACGCGTAATCGGTTTAAATTCCTTGACACATTAATCTCTTTTATTAATTCTTGTAAAGTTTGTATTTCTATTTCTCGACTTCTTAGTTCATCATAATAATAATCCAATTACAGTTGAGTCTCCCTTATTTAATAATTTTAAACTAGCCGAATTTTATTAGTTTGTCAACCATCATTAAAGCGAATTATTATTATATGAACTTTAAAGTGTTCTTTAGTACTCCTGTTCATACGTTGTGTTTATAACAAAGAATCCAGAGCCTTTGAGTTCGACATGTCGTAGACTAGAGTTGATAAATCCATGTGAAAATAAACAATTTGCTATTTAATTCATTCCCATACCGATACCGTTTTATTATTATGGCATTAATTTCAAATTTTGATCGGAGCATCGAGAACCATTTCACGTTCAGCTCCCTGCTCCGATTGAAGTTATTACGCGCTATTACGCGAGTGATGAATCATGTCCCTCGAACTGCCCTCATTCCTAACCTCTGGTCGAGAGTCTGAGCAAGTACTAGTCATTTGTAACGATAACAACATCCATAAAGAAATTAAGTATATTTTACTTTCTTTTCAAAGCTTGTTTTTTAGGTACATTAATAAACAAACCACCATCAAATTCTGGTTGCACCAGCTCAACGCGATCAGAAGTTATTATGTATGGTTTGTATAGCATTCAATCTCATTAGCACTGTGTTATTCTTGGGCAGATCGAAAATTATTCTTTGGTTAATGCATCGTTACAGGCCAGTAGAATCGTTAAATTCCGGCAGAAGTTTTTGTGTAAGAGCACCCAGGGGTCATATGAGGCACACACATAAACAGAGCGCTTTTACTACTAGTGTCAAGCGCTTGATATTCGCCAGAAATAATTACTAGTTTCATTTATATTTTAATATTGTTTGGGTTGTTTTTAACAATTAGAAAATATGATCGTCTGTACAAACAAATGCGATATTTATGCTCACTATATAATGTACAATTATATCAGAAAACATCAACTTTGCTAACAAACCGCAGAAAGAACGGGTCAAGTTAGCATCTCTACTTATCAAATATATATATTACAAAAAACTCTCGACACTCATCGTTCAAATGTTAATCCTGTCCAGGCCAAGCTGGTCGTGTCGATCCGTCAAATTCACCATAAAATTTATTACTCTGCACTATTTTATGATTGACACCACCTATGACAGCACCACACTCTGGACATTTGGAAATTTGAGTAGCACCACCGCAATCACCTGTGCGAGCAGAAATCAAATATTCATGAGCAACTTACTCTCTTTTATTCGTACCAAAAGGTCAATCCAAAAAATTATAGACAACATACCTATATAATAAGGGTGTTGCTTCGGACATACAAACCAACGTCCGCCCACCATACCAAACTCTCCAATTGAGTTCTCGGAATTCATTGCTTCGATCACCTGCCGTCGTTCTTCGTCTGTCAGCTGAGTAAGTTTTTTACAATGTTGTGTCTTTATCTGATTCCAAAGTTGTATCCCACTTTTGATATACTGGTTATATCGAGACGCGGTGAATATCGGGGCCTGACATTTGGGACATTCCCACAGCTTAATAGCGACGTGATTTTCTGGCAAACAATGATGATATTATTAATAGGATTTCATAATATGATATTATCGACGTCAATTATTCTTACCTGTCTTCGCGGGGTTCTGGAAGTACAAATCGAGAGCTTCCACCGAGAAGACTAAAATATAAGGAAAGAAGTTTAATATAATTGAGACATGATAGACCAAGCAAGCGACAAATTGACAACTGATTCTTTCTTACCACAACCACAATCGGGCAACACGTATACACGCTCGTCCTCACCAAAGTCTCCAAGATCTCTTAAAGTAATTGAACAAAACAACGATTGATTGCATTTTTTACAAGGGGGACATTTTTCTCCGCAAAGACCAGAGCAGTCATGACTATCGACAGTATTGCATCGATTAGCGTAATCCTCATTAAGTACAGGATGAAATTAAAGATTATTATATTTACCCGCAAGAAAGCGTCTCAGGACAAGGTTCATCGCATGCAGGACGATCGCAGATTTCCCGACAAAGTTTGGTACACGCGAAATGCGGACATTTCCAATCACATACTTCTACACATTCGACACATGGTTTGTAGCATTCGTAGGGACAAACTCTGCCATGCATGCACCGATTTCTACAGTCTCGCAGACATACTGAAGTGTGTTGATCAGGTGCTTTACATCCATTTTCACAATGGTGTCCGCAGATAAGTTTTTTCGCACAAGGCGCATCACAATCCTGTCTCTCATGCCCATGCTCGGTCCCACATCGTTTACGGCACATATGCCCACATGGAAGTCGACGTTCACATTGTTTGCTACAAACAGGAGTTTTGCCGCACTGAATTTGGGTGATATGCCCGCATCCAAGAGATTCAACGAAGATTGTCTGTGAACACTCTAATGTTGACAAAAATACTGTATCGGCCGTCTGATAGCATTTTACCATAGTAAAATGTCCACATGACATCCTATAAGGAACCATTTGCTGACACTCCCAGGAGGAGTTTTTTCCGTTGATATCCCCACATTTGACGCTACATAAATGCCTACAGTTCAATTCGATTTGAATTTCTTCCATACACGGAGGGCATCCCTCTTGCTGACATTCATAACATTTGTTAGGGCATTGGTGGGTGCAGCCTTCAGGACGTCGGCGAGAACACCTACGGGTACATATCCATTGTTCGTCCTTGTGGGCCTCAGGATGACATTTACGCGGACATGCGTGCCCGCAGAGGAGACAGATCTCGCATTCAGCCTAATATAGAAGAATACGAGTTGGTTCAGAGTAATTTTGCAACAGTAGCAGCCAAACAAACAATAGATGAATTACCGAACATCCACCGTCTGGTGCGTATTTATCAAAGTCTTCGGCACATTTCATATGTAAAGTTAAATCCTTATGTCGTTTGCATGAGGTCGTTATGCAGTCGCTAACCCGATCTATGTGAACAAAAAGAGAGCAAAGTGAAATTCAGGTGAGTGCGTTACCAACTTGTACATACATGAACAGTATACTAGTATTATTCAAAAGACTTACCTTTGCGTTTTAACTTACGCAAAACGTTCTCCCAGACTTTGCTTGCAGTCATCATTTCCTCATTACCAAAGATGAACAAGCCATGCCTGGCGCACGATAATGCAAAGTGAGCTCGACCTTCCATGTCAATATATTTTAACGCTTCTTTTTGATAGTCTGTATCGACAGCCACCAAAGATATAATAATAATGTCATTGTATTGGCTGCGAAACTCATCAATGCAGTTAACTTGAACAACGTTGCTCTTGTTTTTATTGTCCTGGCCTGCGTCCATAAAGTATTGGCCTACCATTTTGCTGATTAGTCTCTTTTGACTGACGTACGGTGTCAGGATAGTGATCTTTTGGGGTTGATAGCCTTGTTGACAAAGATACCTTGCAAATCGAGCAACAAATTTTGCCTCAAACTCGTTACAATTAGCAGAAATATTTGTCGATCCATAATGTATGTTGTCATGAGAGACAAAGCAAAGTCGATCAGCGAGCTCGCCTATTCCTCGGAAGGATGTTCGGTGTCGAGGACTCTCTATTCGTTCAGAATATAATCCGCTAATCAATTGATATATTTCAGCATGTATTTGTGTCTGTTCTAGTAGAACTTTTGGGCCAACATCCTTGATTTGTCTTTCAAAGAGCGTCCTACCTAAACCGAGTTCTTTTGCAGCCACACTTTTTATATAAGGCTTGTGATAATGACGATTATCCCCAATAAGTAATAACTGTTCCAAGTTATTACTCGTGAGGCAAGACATCAACTGGATCTCTGATATCTCTGAAGCTTCGTCAACTACACAGATACGAGGAGACAGCATTTCTATAAGTTTACGGCTAGATGTGGCATATGCAACTGTCATTCCTACCACATTAGCGAATCTGCTTACTTCGGCCCACCTTCCTATTCTATAACTCCCCAATTTTTTGTACGCATCATATGATCTTGCATGAAGGCGTTTGATCAATTTTTCAAAATGCTGTTCAATTGTGCCTTGATAACATTCCCAAATTTTTTGACGCTGAAAGTAATCCAATCCCCAAACACGTCGTCTATAAGTATTCCAAATGTCTGATATGGTTTTATAGAGATTTTGAGGCAGTTCCGGTTTATAATTCTGAGGTATGACATTTTCTTTATGCCAATTCTTGACAAATAAAGAATCTTCTTCTTCTAATTCAACTAAAAGCCTTTCCGCATTTACAAATTCCAATGTCACCGAATCAAAGTCGTAATTGCTGGAATCATAAAGTCGTGCCAATCCTTTACGTTCAAGGCTAGCCAAAGAATGACTATCCATTGTCCACTTCACACTTGGAATGTGAATTGTCTTGTGACGAGTACCTGGCCTATTATCTTGACTGGATTTTGAATCCCTTGTGTTTGCGCCACTCTTCGTGCTAACATTAGGAACACGCTTATGAGAGTCGTTGGCATTTCTACGAGCTTCGGCCTGTGATTTTCCAGAGAGCCACTCCTTAATAATCCCCTTTGGTGCGTCGGCAAATTGATCACTGATAAACGCTGGGGCAAGTTTGATAAATCCTTCATCAGATAGAGCAAATGTTCTATCTCTCCAGTACGTCCTGAAAGACTTCCGTAATTCTTCAAGTTCGGCTTTTAAGTTTCGCAATTCAGCTCTATGTTGACCATGAAATTCCTTTGCCAAATTATTTATTTGTCGCTTCTTCAATTCGTCGTCAGTGCAATCATCGATCGAAGCAAGCCGAATAAAATCCTGACCCAATTCTCTTAATTCAGTCAGAATATCATCGAGGCTATGCGTAGTTCGGGTTATAAGTAATATTGGTTCGTGATAATTATTATTCTGAAGGGCTTGAGACATAATATTAATCGCACGAGATGCAAAAGTCGAGCGAGACGTACCAATCGGAGTTACAACCATAGAAATTCGATGATTTAATACGGTTTTCAAGGCACCAACAAAAGAGTTGTCATATCTGAATATTGCTTCATCTGTGTCATAATCAAGACCGGGCCATTGTGAAGTTGCCGAGAAAACCGTGTTGCGCTGTTCATGTCTCATGATAGAAGAAAAATCCAACTTCCTCCTATAAAGATATGAGGGTGGACCATTGTCCATTTCCGTCCCAAACAGTTTAGATATCATTGGTTTCTTCTCAAGGGAGCATTCGGGAGATTTCAACCATTCTAACAAGGAATTAATGGTAGGATAATGTATTGTAGATTCAACCATTATGTACGTACTCTGAATGTCGAGTTTGTCGAATTCCTTGGGCTCAAAACTTAATCCGACGAAACTGCCAGCAGTCTTTGCATTTTTTAAATCCCTAATATCAAAGTCTTTAACGACAGCCCATATCAGACTGGATGGATCTATTTCCAGATATTCATCATTCCCATCATCAAGAGATGAGATTTTGAATAATATAACGAATGTACCATAAATGAGATGTTGCCCGAGATCCCAATCAATATCACGACATGGTTTAAATGTCACGCGTACCAACGGCTGGTATGACCTCTCCATGTAAGTATTGACGACCCGTACATTATCATAAAAGACATGTTCCGATAATGGTGAACAACTTGGCGAAGAAGATGCACGTATTTCGTAATTGATCCATGTTAAAAGCGACTTTTGAAGTGGTTCAAGGAGTTCTTTGCAAAGTAGAGAATAATACGCATCCTTGTAAGCGATGAACTTTCTAGGATCCAGGCTTCGAAAACGGTTGGCGCGAAAAACATTATCCTTATTGCAAAGAGAAGCAATGTCGAAGAGTTCTGCAACATCGGGTATAACGGGTTTTCTAATAGGGGTAGTATGCGGTTCATTGTTGGCAGTCCTGCGTTTGCCATCACGTAAGTTCTGATCTACTGCTGGTTGGTCGACTGTCCTATGAAGACCGTCAATCCTGCCAAAAAATGCCGAAATCTCGCGCCATTCTTCTTCACTTATTGCCCATTTCGATCTTTTTAGAATCATTTCCATCTCTGTCACCGGCACGACTGTGGAATACTTTGGTATTAGTTGACAAATAGCGTCAAAAAGACGCAATATTGGCATAAACAACTCGAACGACTGAACGTGTTCCAACAGGTATCTAATAGTTTTAACAAAAAACGGCGGTTGATCTGTTAATATTACAACGATGTCACGAAACATTCCGTTTGTATTCGACACATGTGGTGAAGCAAGCATTTCTATCGTCAATTCCATCGCATAATGGGAAAACGACGAAAGGGACTGAGATGAGAATAAATTAATTCTTTGAGAATGCAGTACAGTAAGCCAATCACGGGGATCTCTGCGACGAACAGCGCGTAGATTGGCCAGAGCGGTTTCTTTTGATTTTCCGTTGTGGTGCGACTGTACTGATTTTTGTTTTCTGGTACTTTTGATTGCATCGCGCTCTTCTCCCATCCTGCGTCTAATTTCTTGTATAACACTTTCTTCAGTATCATGTATAGTAGGGTCATCGACATCGCGCCAAAGTAAATCATTTTCGCGACCCGACGTCACATCTGTATAAATGCGTACACTTGATTGTATTCGTGATGAACGTCCCAGATTTTCATCGTTCATGGGCGGATCGGACATGTAAATTTCGCTAAAGACATGTACCCGTCCAGTGAACGATCGATTGTCTTGATGATTCCATCTGAAGGGACGTTGATTTCCTGGTTGACGTGGAGGAGACCTGCTGTTCTCAAATTTTCTGTCTTTTTGTCTTCGTGACTGTTGCGTGTCTCGCGGATATGAATTCATTCTTCGACGGTTTTGATTGTTTTCATTATAATTCATCCGATGATATCCATATGGCTGTTTAGCGTAATTTCTGTCGCGATTGCTGTTTTGGTTAAAAGAATTTCCTTCGCCGGGAGGAGGATATGTATGTTGCCTGTAGGCCAAGTGTCTGCGAGGACGATTGCGATCGTTATCATACCGTGCACTTGGGCCTTCTTCGTTATCGTCATTGTTCATGCTATTTTGATCCCATGTCGCGGAATATCGAGGATTCATAATGGCTTTCGGTGCGTCTTTTCCGGTGAACTGGTCTTTATCAGCCCAATCTACTGGTACATCTACACGGTTCACCCACATTTGCGAAGCAACCTTCTCTAGACTTTGGAAATTCATCTGTGATATTTCGTCGTGTGTTTTGAAAATTCTGGGGCAGTCTGCCGTAGTAGTCTCTTCGTTTGCTGTTGTCACAGGAATGACAGGGAGGGGTGGCTCAAAGTTAATGCCTACGTAAGATCTATCAACACCCGTCTCTTCGACTGCGTCCACGTCGCTATCACTATCCAGTTGTATGCTAGGAGTAGCGCGTGCGAGCAGTCCGGGGATAATGTCGCTTTCAACGTTTTTCATATTAGAATTTAGTAGGTGAAGGATTTAATATAAATATTGACAGGAGAATTCGTTATTGCTAGGAATAATAAGGCAAGGGCGTTATCGATCAAACTATACTATCGGCGTGATAATCGTAGGTGACGCTTAGTTGTGTGTACCATTAATATGACAAACTAGTCAAATTCTTCGTCGCACGTACAAGCCAGGTCAAGTGAAGAGTGACGTTTTATTTATTTCGAACTTTCTATTGGGTAATAATCATATGTACAGTCCCAAAAAAACCCCCGGAAAAGTAATAAAAAAGACTTTCTCGTATGCAATGAATAAAGAAGTTAACTGCAGAAGACAAAACTATATTTGCTCAAAGAGAATATGTATGATAAGGCTGCGAAAATGTATTTATATAATTTACAATAGAACTTGAATGAATACCCAAGGCAAAATACATGGGGTAATCATCAAGCAGGGGATACGTTACAAGTTGGGAAATTGCAAAAAGTTATGTGATAATGGTATTGCCGCCAAAATTCCTGATTATGATGAGCTATATATTTGCTGTTTAGTCTTTAGGATTCTTACTCGGGGTAGGTGATTGTGTCAGTTCCGACGTGTTTACTTCATTCTCATCTTCGCCGATAACAGGTGAATGCACTTGACTACCGCTTGGAGACGTCCACCGATCTCCAAACCATTTACTAATAAAGCTAGACAGCCGCGTTGGAGTTTCGTATACCTTTTTTCGTTTGTGTTGATCTTCGTCTTCGGCATTCTGCGTCTATACAAATGTATATAATATGTATGCATATGTATGAATGTATGCGTGTACGTATGCATGGTGAGTACATGCAAAACTGCGTGAGCCTTTTGCATTCTTGTTGAACGATATACATACCTCAGAAGTCGAATCAATTTCGCTCAATTTTCGTTTTTTGGGTGTCCCCGCGGGACTTCCTTCCCTTAGATTAGAATATTCTCTATTAAACAGATTAACACTATTATATGATATAGTACTATCCATGCTATCCCTTCGCTCGGTGTTACGGGACAATTCCGCTCGTTCTATACTCTTTACACGAACTTTCAGGTCCCTATGTCAACAGAATATAGAATATAATTATGATTCTCGTATTCTTTTGTTTCAAAATAATCACAAAAACTACCCCCTATTGTGACCTTACCGTAAAAATAAGAGGTTACGCGAATCCAACTCGCAAAACTTGTTAGCAACCGCTTGATAAAATTCTGTATTCCCAATAACTTCTTTTCCTGATCGAATATATGCTATCCTTGTCTCTCTGTACAAAATCTTCAACTGCTTCCAATGAATGTCAGTCCACGTCCTCGAACTTGTCGGCGAACTACGTCCAACACTCGGCGTAGGACTAGAATTAGCACTAGCACTACGATCAAAGGCATAATTAAAGGATGGAGTCGGCGACCGAGGTGTCATTCGGTATCGGTTGGGACTACGTGCTCTATCGCTTGACGGCGTCGATGGACTAGCAATCGGAGTCGTACTTCCAAGCAAATCGTAATTAGTGGATGCCAAGGCCTTTACTGCGTTTTCAAGAACTGTAGGATTCTCCGCAATCAGTTCGACCACATCCGAAGGTAAGCTTGGGGACAGACTTTGTTTGAGGTGTAATTCTCCCGTACGGCCCCCCCTACCTCGATTACGATTGCCTCGGCCACGATTTCCCCCCCTTCCCCTACCACGTGGACTGCGTATCGACTTCAATTCAATACTACTATTTTCACTATCACTGTCATCCCGTTGGAAGCGATTCTGTCGATCGGGTCTTTCTTCTATTGTTTCAGACGCAGATTTGCTATTAACGTCATGCGAGTCTTCGTCAACCGTATCGTCCTTGGAAATAGCCCCTTCTTCCGCTTGCTCTTCCAAAGCTGTCTGCCTTTTTGATTTATTATTAGCACGCAATGTACGCGTCGATGTGGTAGTGACCAACGTTCGAGAACGTCTGACAACTGTGGAAGTGCTCTCAACATCAAGAGCTATAGGATTCATAGGATTTTCCACAATCAATTCGACCACATCCGGAGATATACTCGGAGATAAGCTTCGCCCAACCGGTGACCCTCCTTTACGACTTCCCCGACCTCGGCCCCCTCGACTTCCTCGACCGCGTCTTCCCTTACCACGTGGACTGCGTATCGACATCAATTCAATACTACTTTCACTACCGCTGTCATCTTCTTGGAAGCTACTATGTTCATCAGACTGTTCTTCCATCGTTTCAGACGCAGATTTGTTATTAGCATCATGCGAATCTTCGTCAACTGTATCTTCCTTGGAGATAGTCCCTTCTTCCGTCTGCTCTTCGGCAGAAATCAACTTATTACTATTAGCATGGAGGGCGCGCTTCCCACGAGTTGACAATGTTCGAGAACGTCGGGTAACTCCAGAAGTGCTCGCACCCCTTCGACTTCCTCGACCACGTCGAGCACCTCTTACTCTACCACGTGGATTGCGTACTGACTTCAGTTCAACGCTACTATTTTCATTATCACTGTCATCGTCTCGGAAGCTACTATGTTCATCCATCGTTTCAGACGCAGATTTGTTATTGACATCATGCGAGTCTTCGTTAACTGTATCTTCCTTGGAGACAGCCTCTTCTTCTGTCTGTACTTCTGCAGATGTCAACTTATTACTATTGGCACGGCGCGGGCGCCTCCCGCGTGTTGCCGGTGTTCGAGAACGTCTGGCAACTCTAGGAGTGCTCGCACTTCTTCGACCACCTCGACCACGCCGAGCACCTCTTAATCTACCACGTGAACTGCGTGCCGATTTCAATTCAATACTACCACTTTCACCATCAGTATCATCTTCTTGAAGGCTATTTCGTCCATCAGATTGTTCTTCTATTGTTTCAGGAGCAGATCTGTCATTAATGTCATGTGAATCTTCGTCAATTGTATCTTCCCTAGAAGCAGTCCCTTCTTCCACCTGTTCTTCCAGAGACGTCAGTTCTGTTGATCTTTTATTAGCACGCGCCCTACGCTTCCCACGAATCGACGTAGATCCTCGTGGACGTTTAACAATCCTAGAAGTGCTTGCAGCGCTATTACTACGATTTCTTGGCAGACGACGCTTGAGACTTTTTGGTGTTGAAACTTCACGTGATACGTTGACGCTGCGACCTCGACGCTTTGGAGTTGAAACTTCACGCGATACAACGTTGACACTACGACTTCTACGAGCACGACGCTTTGGTGTTGAACTTCCACGTGATACAACGTTGACGCTACGACTTCTTCGCAGACGACGCCTTGGTGATGATATTATTAATTCACGTGATAATGCACTCGTACTGCGGCCTCTGCGAGGACGACGCTTGGGAATTGAAATTTGTGGTTCTTCGCGCGACGCCGTGCTTTCAACACTCGCGCTACGACTTCTTTGTGAAGGATTGTTTGTTGAAATATTCGATTCTCCGCGTGAGTCCATGCTTGCGACACTTGTACTCCGGCTTCTTCCTGTCTTTTTTCTTTTTCCTTTGTGCCTACGTGTCGAGTATAATACTTCGCGATACTGTGGATAACTGTTATCAAATATCAAATGTTAATACGATTATTTACCATTATTTCACAGTACTCGGAATACGATGCTAACCTTTCCCTTTTTCTAAGCCGTGCTGATACAGGTTTGTCATCATCGCTGCCTGGCTCCAATCTAACAAATTCTATGTTCGCAAAAGCGTCTGCCATCCGTTGATAGTAGTGACCCTGCATTTGGAGAGATTTACTAATCTAAAGACCATCACATAACGTAAATGCAACGCACTGATCGACTATTACACACGCTAATACTATACTATATAATGCACTGTGCGATATACCCATACTATAACAGGACTATACCGAATCTATGTATATCTATTGTAAATTATATAATTTTTAAAATCATTACCGAAATTTGTGATTCCGTCGTCTTTTCATCACCTCCGAGTTCAGGGAGCTCTTGCTGCTGTCCATCATTGATAACGTTTCCATCAGACGTTGAATGGTTATTATTTGCTAGTTCCGCAGTACTATTGGCATGCAACGATACATTGTCGACCACCACTTGAATAGCCTCACGTTCAAAGGGCGAACTAGTTTCAAAGTCGCGTGACCCGCTCTCACGTTCAACATCTCGAAGCGTGACATAAGCCGTATTCGACGTTGAATTGTTGTTTGATTCTTCAGCAGTCTTTTGTCCGAGTGATTCGGGAACCATAGAGCGCAGATTATGCAAGTCGGACTGAGACTCCTGGATGCCTAGTTGTTGAGATAGGATATTAAGTGGTGTCATTGCTTCTGTGAGAGCTTGTTGTTGATTGTCATTCGCTGCATTATCCATATTCGCCGTTTCCACATGTCCAGAGATGTCAAAGTCTTCTTGGGCGTACGTCCCTCCGGAGTACCGATCTGGGTTCTCATCAGTTTGTGTCCGTTTCGCTATTGCTTGGCCGATATCAGCCAATAACTGACTGTCTTGCGGAGTTGGTAGTTGGTAGCGTAAGTCACCTTGTTGTGTCATTTGGTACAACAAATGATGACTTGTCTATTATTATTTCTAGCGATTGCCGTTCGCAGCTCTTATGTATTGACAGAGGGACAGGAATAAAACACAACTTTAATGAATATCACGTTTTTGAATTGTTTGTATTTTTGAATGTATTCGTCACAGGTACTCCAAAACAAAACAAGGTGATGTATCACATGGGATTGTGATTGACAACATGAAATTAGGGAACACTCGAGTTACAGTATTTGG